TCGCCTAAATATTGCCACCTGATGGATGCTGGGAAGTCTGTCTTTTCCGTGGCAGCCCCTTCCCCATGGAGCCTCGTTCTATGGGGAATGGAATGGGAAGGATGTGAGTGTATAACGTGTGTCCTTATTTGTGGTTTTTACTTGTGTGTAGTGTGCACTGTGGACAGCACTTCATTTGTTGTGAGTTACACACTGACAATAAAGATCTTCTCTTCTCTTCTCTTCTCTTTTCTTCTCTTCTATATTCCATTCATATTTTCTATTCTATTCTATTCTATTCTATTCTATTCTATTCCATTCCATTCCATTCCATTCCATTCCATATTTTCTATTCTATTCTATTCTATTCTATTCTATTCTATTCTATTCTATTCTATTCTATTCTATTCTATTCTATTCCATTCCATTCCATTCCATTCCACTTCATATTTTCTATTCTATTCCATTATTCCTATTCCATTCTAATACTCTATTTTCTATTCTATTCTATTCTATTCTATTCTATTCTATTCTATTCTATTCTATTCTATTCTATTCCTATTCTATTCCATTCCATTTATTTTCTATTCTATTCTATTCTATTCTATTCTATTCTATTCTATTCTATTCTATTCTATATTCCGTTCTGTTCCGTTCTGTTCTATTCTATTCCAGTGATGGCGAACCTTTTAGAGACTGAGTGCCCAAACTGCAACGCAAAACCCACTTATGGATCATCAGGTGCCGGGTGGGTGTGGCCCATTGGGTGGGCGTGGCCCATTGGGTGGGTGTGGCCCATTGGGTGGGCGTGGCTGCGGTGGTAATGGCAGACTGCGTGGGACTAAAAAGTTAAATCATTCAATTCCAACTTTGCAAGATCTTTTTTTTCCCGCGAGAAATTGAAATTGACTGATTGAACCTTTTTTTTTTTCCCCACGCGGTAGCGGAGGCCTAAAGCCAAAAGATTTTATAAAACCCAGCTAAAGGCCTAGGACTGGGGTGACGGTGCGCGTGCCCACAGAGAGGGCTCTGAATGCTGCCTCTGGCACCCGTGCCATAGGTTCGCCACCACTGGTATATAGGGTCTCCTGCCTGAGCAGGGGGTTGGACTAGATGACCTCCAGGGTCCCTTCCAACTCTGTCATTCTATTCTGTTCTGTTCTATTCTATTCTATTCTATTTTCTATTTTCTATTTTCTATTCTATTCTATTTTCTGTTTTCTATTCTATTCTGGGAAAGATTGAGGGCAATAGAAGAAGGGGACGACAGAGAATGAGATGGCTGGATGGAGTCACTGAAGCAGTAGGTGTGAACTTAAATGGACTCCAGAAGATGGTAGAGGACAGGAAGACCTGGAGGAACGTGGTCCATGGGGTCGCCAGGGGTCGGACACGACTTCGCAATTAACAACAACAACAACAATTCCTATTCTATTCTATTCTATTCTATTTTCTATTCTATTCTATTCTATTTTCTATTCTGTTCTGTTCCGTTCCGTTCCGTTCTGTTCTGTTCTATTCTTCTGCAGATCTCTGCCCTTTTAGCTTTCAGTCAAACCTTGAAGACCTGGGTCTCTCCCCCCTCCCTGGCCAAAGTGTTGGGAGAAGATTGGATAATACTATTTATTTTTGTTTAAATAAATACATTTATTAAAAAAAAGAAAATTAATACATTTTATTTGTAAAATTTATTAGCGCCCTTCCCCATCTCACCGCACCTTCACTTTAAGTGCAGCTTAGAAAGTTGACTGGGGGCCAGGCCTTTGTCGCTTTTAACATTTTAATGGGTTTAGTTTGATAGTTTTACTGTGGTTTTATATGCTGTATAAACTCTGGATTGGGAGCCGCCCAGAGCAGGTTATACGATAAGTGGCTAGAGATAAAGGTTTTAAGTAAATAAATGAAAGGCGACTGGGAAATAGATTGCACTTCTTCTACCTCGCTAGTCTCAAATCCTCTGATTCAGGCAAAATGTTCTGAAGGTTTTCCAATCCCAGTTCCTACGCAGGAAATCCTCGACTTACGAGTATTCTTTTAGCGACGGTTCAAATTTACAGCGGCAGCGAAAAAAGTGACCAAGGGATGTCCATGCATTTACAGGCCATTGCTGTAGGGATAGGGATGGGATCAAAATTCAGGCATTTAGCGGACAGCATGTATTTACGATCGTTACACCACTATGGGATTGTCATTTGCCATTTCCCCAGCCGGCTCTATTACGATAACAGAGTGGGAAGGGGCCTTGGAGGTCTTCTAGTCCAGCCCCCTGCTCCAGCAGGAGACCTTTACAACATAACAGAGTGGGAAGGGATCTTGGAGGTCTTCTAGTCCAGGGCTTTTCAACCTTGTCACCCATTGTACCACCTTTAGGATATGGCAACATCCGAGTACCACCAGTCGCCTAGCAAGGGGTCAAAAATATGATGACCCCCCCCCCAAAAAGGAAAAAAGTGATGAAGTACAGCTAGTCCTCGACTTACAACAGTTCGCTTACTGATTGTTCGAAGTTACAATGACCCTGAAAAAAGTGCCCCCCAAGCCACAGCCGAGCAAGACACCTGCTTGCCCGCCCGGCCGCGCTCTTCCTCCTGTCCGAGGTTTCCATTGTTGTGAGCATTTCTGTTGAGGATTGGCAGCAGGGGTGGGATGGGGGGGGTTTGGTTTTTATCCCCCCGTCCGTCTCCTGGGTGGTTGCAGCAGGTTTTGGTCCCTTCCCATGACCCTGGGACACTGTGACCGTCATAAATGTGAATCAGTTGCCAAGCATCTGAATGTAAATCACAAGACCCTGGAGAGGCTGCAACATTCCAGCTGATCAGTGCTTCTTCTGGGCTCAGCAGAAGCACCAGGATCAGCGCCGAGCTCCAGCTGGAACCTGGCGCTGATCCTGGCGCTTCCGCTGAGCCCCGACAGCCCTGCAGCTCCAGCCGTCTCTCGCTCAGGCTTGTGCGGTGCTGCCCCCGGTTCAGCTCATTCCCCTCCCCCGCTACTACTTTTCTAGGATGGTTGCGTACCCCCTGCCAGGTGCCAATGGACCACAGGTGGGACCCGTACCACTGGTTGAAAAGCCCTGCTCTAGTCCAGCCCCCTGCTCCAGCAGGAGACCCTTACAGAAGTATAGAGTTGGAAGGGATCTTGGAGGTCTTCTAGTCCAACCCCCTGCTCCAGCAAGAGACCCTGCCTACATCATTCTAGACTAGAGTAACAAACGCTTGTCCAGTCTCTTCTTAAAAACCTCCAGTGATGGAGCAACCACAACTTCTAGAGGCAAGGAGTTCCACTGGTTCATTGTTTTCGCTGTCAGGAAATTTCTCCTGGTTAACAGCCATGTGACTAATTTAACCGCTGCAGTGATTCACTTAACAACTGTGTCGAGAAAGCTTGTAAAATGGGACAAAACTCACTTAACAACCGTGTTGCTTAACAGGGGAAATATGGAGCTGTGGTTCTAAATCAAGGACTAACTGTATTAACGTTTCGTCTACAACAGGGGTAGGCCACCTTGGCTCTTTTATGACTGGTGGACTTCAACTCCCAGAATTCCTGAGCCAGCCATGCTGAGGGGAAAGGGAGAGGTTTCCAAGCTGAGCCGTGCTGGCTCAGGAATTCTGGGAGTTGAAGTCCATGAGTCATAAAGAGGCCATAGTTCCCCCATGCTGACTCAGGAATTCTGGGAATTGAAGTTGAATCATGAAGGGGCCAAAATTTCCCCCACGCTGGCTCAGGAATTCTGGGAGTTGAAGTCCCCAAGTCATGAAGGGGCCAAAGTTCCCCCATGCTGGCTCAGGAATTCTGGGAGTTGAAGTCCACAAGTCATGAAGGGGCCAAAGTTCCCCCCATGCTGGCTCAGGAATTCTGGAAGTTGGAGTCCATGAGTCATAAAAGGGCCAAAGTTCCCCCATGCTGGCTGAAGAATTCTGGGAGTTGAAGTCCACGAGTCATAAAAGAGCCAAGGTTGCCTACCTCTGCTCTAGATTAAAAGAAATTCACTCACTTGCTTTCTCATTCCTTACATTTTAAGCGTGCCCTGGTCGCACGTTTTTAGCAATAGCGAAACTTCCTCTAAGCATTCATGTGCGCAAGGATTGGAATCTGCCCTTGCTTTTGCCATCTGTCAATCAAAATTGGCAGGTGGGTTGCCGAGAGAAATGGGGGTGAAATTGGGGTCAGTTCTGGGATGAAGTTCCTTCCCCCTTTCTCCCTTCTCTCTTTTTCACGTTCTTGGGACACCCCGTTTTTCTAACGGGCAATTTTGTAGTAAATGGGGGAAAAACCCCTTTGCTTTCCGTTGACCCAGATGGGACTTCCTGAATGGAGGCCAATCTGGAAAACGAGCAAATTGCCTAAAATCGGAGGAAGTGAAAGTGAAGAAATGGTTGGGTGGGGGAGAAAAAAACAACGACAGGCAATTTTCCTGATTTTCTGGTGGGGCATAAACTGAGAGTTGAGGAAAAAAGAATGCAGAGAATCCTCGACTTATAATTATTCATTTAGTGACTGCTTAAAGCTAACAGAAGCGGCGGAGAAGGTGATTTATGATTGGTTCTGACATTTACGATGGTTGCAGCGTCCCCCCCGGTCACATGACCAAAATTCAGGGGCTTGGCAAGGGGTACGTCCAGCTAGTCCTCGACTTAACGACCACAATGGGGCTTTGTGGTAGATGTGGGAGGCTGGGCGGCGGTTGCAACTTTGGAACTGATTGTAAGTAAGGACCTTTTGGTGAGTGGCTCTGTCATAATTTCAAATGATTGTAAATTGAGGACTACCTGTATTTATGATGTATCATCCTGGGGGGTGATTTGATCGCCATTGATGACTTTTTCTCCTCCTCCTCCTTCCTCCTCCCTTTTGGCACTGATGATGTTACCTAGTTGGGTCATGAAATGTCTGCAAGGAAACCACCAAGCTCAGAGAGCACCAAGGACCCCACTGTTGTTATCCTCCTCCTCCTCCTCCTCTTCCTCCCCCCCTCCCCCCTCCTCCTCCTCCTGGATGACACCTCTGTTTTTTCCTTCCAGTTCTCCTGCGAGAGAGAAGCCTCCGGAATCTGAGGACCTGCCCACCGTACCCCCCGCCCTCTTTCCACGTGTCAAGTTAACGGTGCACCACAGTGGCCCCGAGATTCCCCCAAAGCCCTCCCTCCTTTTGCACCCAGAGTTTGGTAAGTCTGCGTCTCGTGCAACACCAAAGGTGTTTAAGACCTAGGTGAGACCTGAGATGAGTCATGAAGGGGCCATAGTTCCCCCATGCTGGCTGAGGAATTCTGGGAGTTGAAGTCCACCAGTCATGAGGGGGCCATAGTTCCCCCATGCTGGCTGAGGAATTCTGGGAGTTGAAGTCCTCAAGTCATGAAGGGGCCATAGTTCCCCCATGCTGGCTCAGGAATTCTGGGAGTTGAAGCCCACGAGTCATAAAAGAGCCAAGGTTGCCTACCCCTGACTTAGATGATCCTTCTGCCCTCTTCCAACTCTATCATTCATGGCTGGCTGGGGAATTCTGGGAGTTGAAGTCCAGGGCTGTTAAAAGTAGCCAACATTGAGGGACACTGAACTTAGACGATCCTTCTGCTCTCTTCCACCTCTATCATTCATGGCCAGCTGGGGGATTCTGGGAGTGGAACCATCAGCTCCTCCGTGGAGGAGACATGGGGCATAAGCACCATGACCCAAGGTCTCCTCTTGGTAGGAACTTTGGAAATGGAGCTGGGGTGGGTTGGTTATCTGGAGAAGGTCTAAGTTGATGGGACTCCATTGCCAACGTTCACGTAGATCTTGCTTTTTTGCCTTGCAGAGGACTCCGATTATGAGGACCCCCTGTTTGAGGAGGAGAGGGAAACTTTTATGGAAGAGATGACTGACAAGGTGTGTCTGTAAGTCTCTGGCGAAATGTGGGTCTGTTGCTTGGAGAAGAAGATGGAGGTCCATTTCACTCCCCCTGTTCCTGACGTAGAGATGAAGAAGAAGGTTCTGTGGATTGCCCCCCTCGGGGTCCATGGGGAAGGCTTCCAGCATTGGCTGTCCAGAGACCCCCCCAGCTTGACCAGGACCTCCTCCCCAAGCCCTCACCTTCTGCAGACCCACCATGACCAGCCAGGGGTCCAAAGCTGGGGTGACTGGCTTACAAGCAGCAGGCTTAGGATAACACTGGTCCAGGATGACCCTGGTTTAGGATAACACTGGTTTACGATGTCACTGGTCTAGGATGACCCTGGTTTAGGATAACATTGGTTTACGATGTCGCTGGTCTAGGATGACCCTGGTTTAGGATAACATTGGTTTACGATGTCGCTGGTCTAGGATGACCCTGGTCTAGGATAACACTGGTCTAGGATGACACCGGTTTAGAATGACCCCGGTCTAGGATAACACTGGTTTATGATGAGGCTGGTTTAGGATGATTGTGGTTTAGGATAAAACAGGCACTCATTTCTATCCCCAAATATGAAGACCCTTGGCACCTTGAACAAACGCTGCAAGATAGCAATAGCAGCAGCAGCAGGAGCCCTTCGACTTACATAGCGCTTCACAGCTTTACAGCCCCCTCTAAGTGGTTTACAAATGTCAGCGTATCACCCCCAACCATCTGGGTCCTCAGTTTACCCCTCAGAAGGATGGTGGAAGGCTGAGTCGACCTTGAGCCTGGTCAGGATCGAACTGGCAGTCGGCAGAATTAGCCTGCAATTCTGTGTTCTAACCACTGCACCACCATGGATAGATAGATGGATGGGTGAGTGGGTGGGTGGATGGATGGGTGGATGGGTGGGTGGGTGGATGGGTGGATGGGTGAAGATGGATGGATGGAGATAGGATAGATAGATAGATAGATAGATAGATAGATAGATAGATAGATAGATAGATAGATAGATAGATAGATTTAGATGGATGAGGGTAGATGGATGAAGATGGATGGATGAAGATAGGATGGATGGATAGATAGATAGATAGATAGATAGATAGATAGATTTAGATGGATGAGGGTAGATGGATGAAGATGGATGGATGAAGATAGGATGGATGGATAGATAGATAGATAGATAGATAGATAGATAGATAGATAGATAGATAGATATGGGTGAAGATGGATGGATGAAGATGGATGGATGGGTGGATGGAGATAGGATAGATAGATAGATAGATAGATAGATAGATAGATAGATAGATAGATAGATAGATAGATGAAGATGGATGGATGGGTGGGTGGATGGAGATAGGATAGATAGATAGATAGATAGATAGATAGATAGATAGATAGATAGATAGATAGATAGATAGATGAAATGGATGGATGGATGGGTGAATGGAGATAGGATAGATAGATAGATAGATAGATAGATAGATAGATAGATAGATAGATGGATGGATGGATGGATGGATGGATGGATGAAGATGGATGGATGGGTGGATGGAGATAGGATAGATAGATAGATAGATAGATATAGATGGATGAAGATAGAAGGATGAAAATGGATGGAGATAGGATAGATAGATAGATGGATAGATAGATAGATAGATATAGATGGATGAAGATAGATGGATGAAAATGGATGGAGATAGGATAGATAGATAGATAGATAGATAGATAGATAGATAGATAGATAGATGGATGGAGATAGGATAGATAGATAGATATGGATGGATGGATGGATGGATGGATGGATGGATGGATGGAAATAGGATGGATAAATAGATAGATAGATAGATATAGATGGATGAAGATAGATGGATGAAAATGGATGGAGATAGGATAGATAGATAGATAGATAGATAGATAGATAGATAGATAGATATAGATGGATGAAAATAGATGGATGAAAATGGATGGAGATAGGATAGATAGATAGATATAGATGGATGGATGGATGGATGGAGATAGGATAGATAGATAGATAGATAGATAGATAGATAGATAGATAGATAGATCCTCACTCACTTTTTTCAAAGCTGTGGTAGATTCTATAGGAGACTAAATAAACGGTCGTAAGAACTGCCTGAATTTAGACTCCAGGAATCCTGGTAATGGGGAGAGGGCAGGTTCCTCTCTTTCTGCTGCTGTGGCCAGAGGGGAAATTCCTGGGTGGCTTCTGAGAAACCCCACAGCCCTGCTTCCTTCTGCTATAAATAGGGGAGGGGTGTGTGTGTGTGTGTGTGTGTGTAGCTTTGCAACTTCCTGTTGCATTGAGATCGAAGCAGGAAGAGGCCGTTTGCGTTCGCTTTTTGTTGTGCATTTCTGCACAGGGAAGCAGGATTAGCCAGGCCCTGATCCTGCAAACATCGGAAGGAAAGAAAGGAAGGAAGATAGATTGGAGGGGGGAAGAAGGGAAAGAAGATAGGAAGAAAGGAAGGGAAGGAAAGAAGGAAGGAAGGAAGATAGGAAGGAAGGAAGGAAGGAAGATAGGAAGGAAGGAAAGAAGGAAGGAAGGAAGATAGGAAGGAAGGAAGGAAGATAGGAAGGAAGGAAGGAAGATAAGGAAGGAAGGAAGGAAGATAGGAAGAAAGGAAGGAAGGAAGGAGAAGGAAGGAAGGAAAACAAAGGAAGGAGAGAGAAATTTCCTCTTTCTTTCTCCTGTTTTGCATGGCCCCCATGTTCTTCTACAGGCCAATGAGACAAGATACAAAGACTCCTCAACTTACGACCACAATTGACCCCCAATCTTCCAATTCTAAGCAAGGCAGTTGTTAAATAGGTTTTGACCCATTTTACGACCTTCCCTGCCACCGTTGCTAAGTGAACCGCTGCGGTCGTTAAGCGAGTCACACGGTCGTTAAGCAAATCCGGCTCCCCCCTTTGACTTCTCTTCCCAGAAGGTCGCAAAAGGGGATCACGTGACCCCCCCCTCCAGGGACGCTGCGACCGTCGTAAGTGTGAGTCAGTTGCCAAGTGGCCAAATGTTGATCACGTGACCCTGGGGAGGGTGCAGCGGTCGTAAGCGTGAAAAGCGGTCCTAAGTCCCTTTTCTCAATGAGGCAGCTTCAAATGGTCCCTAAACAAAGGGTTGTAAGACGAGCGGTACTTGTAATTCATTTGGAATTGTAACTTGCAGTTGATTTGAAGAAAGACCATCCGGAGATTCGGTTCGGAAATCCAATGGATGGGTCAGCTTTTAAGGAGGGGAACGTGCGGGCACAGAGGCAGGTGTGACTGCTCGCTGGCTGGGCAGACGGGGAGCTTTGCCGCTGCGGTTCTGTTTTTCAAAAGAAAAAAGTTCAAAAGAATATTGTAAAGATTTGGGTCGCCTTGCGTAGCTGATTGAAATGCAAATGAAGGGTCATCAAAGGTTCCCTGAAGGGACTAGATTTGATTAATTGGCACGGAGAATAAATCAAGTTAGGATAGAGCGTAAGCAATGTGGATCTTCAGATCTCTCTCTCTCTCTCTCTCTCTCTCTCTCATCTATTTCTCTCTTTTTATTTATCATCTATCTATCTATCTATCTATCTATCTATCTATCTATCTATCTATCTATCTATCTATCATCTATCCATCCATCATTATCTATCCATCCATCTATCCACCCATCTATCCATCCTTCTATCATCTATCTATCTATTATCTAACAATATCCATCTATCATCTATCCATCCATCATCTATCTATCTATCTATTTATCTATCTATCCATCTATTCATCCATCCATCATATGTCTGTCTGTCTGTCTGTCTATATCTATTCATCTATCCATCTGTCTATCCATCTATCTATTCATCCATCATCTATCTATCTATCTATCTATCTATCTATCTATCTATCTATCTATCTGTCTATCCATCTGTCTATCCATCTATCTATTCATCCATCATCCATCTATCTATCTCTGTCTGTCTGTCTGTTTGTCTATCTATTCATCTATCCATCTGTCTATCCCTCTATCTATTCATCCAACCATCCATCATCCATCTATCTATCTATCTTCCATCCATCCATCCATCCATCCATCCATCCATCCATCCATCCATCCTGTCTATCATATTTTTATCTATGTCATAGAATCCTAGGGTGGAAGGGACCTTGGAGGTCATCCAGTCCAACCCCCCCACCACCACCCAAGGCAGGAGACCTCATTGCATCCCAGGCAAATGGCTGCCCACTCTATTCTCGCAAATCTCCACAGATGGAGCACCCACAACTCCAGGAGACAAGCTAATTGGGCACTCCGTCCTCCGGCCGGCGGGCCTGGAGGAGTCCAAACTAGCGTTTTCCTATTGTTTGTAAAATAGGTGTAATTTGAGTGCAGGGACCAGACCCCAGTCCACAAATCTGCCATGTTTTTTGAGGCAGCCTCCTTGCAGGACATACAGCTGGGGATAAGGCTCCCTCGTTGCTTTCGCTTGTTGGAAGGTCGCCAAAGGGGATCACGTGACCCCTGCAACTGTCATAAGTACTAGTCAGTTGCCAAGCATCTGAATTTTGGTCACGTGATCATTGGGATGCCGCAACGGTCATAAGTGTGGAAAGACAATCCAAAGTTATTTTTCAATGCCATTGTAACCAGGGCTGCCTGTAATAATAATAATAATTAATAATAATTAATAAATTAATAATAATAATAATGGCAGTGCCTGGAGGCAGCAGAATAGACGAGAAAGAACTGGAGAAGATAACAAAATACAAAGACCTACAAATAGAAATAGAAAGACTGTGGCAAAAGCAAGCAAGGGTAGTACCAATAGTCATAGGCGCCTTGGGTGCAATCCCAAAACAACTGGAGCACCACTTGAACACCATCATGGCATTGACAAATTTTGCTATTAGTCAATTGCAAAAGGCGGCCTTACTAGGAACTGCTTCCATCCTGCGACGATATCTGTAATACCATCAAACATCCACATCTGCCTATCCCAGGTCCTGGGTAAGGACTCGATAGGTAGACAAAATGCCAAATCCAGTCTGAACATCTGGCTGACTGTGTGATGATCAATATAATAATAATAATAATAATAATCATCAACAAAGAAGAAAAACAAACAGTGCACCAGAAAAATGGAAGGTTAGACTAGAAAATAAGATCAGCAAGTTAAGATCACATGCAAGCAAGCTAGAACAGATGAAAGAAAAGAAGCTGAAGAACAAGAAGACCAAAGAATACCTAATCAAGAAATACCACTTAGAAACAAGGAAGATCAAGGAAGCACTGGAAATAATAAAGCAACAAATAACAGCTATAGCCAGGAAAATCAGTAGATATGAAGCTCGAATTGCAAACTATAGGCAGAACCTCCAATTTCAATCCAATCAGAAACATTTCTACCAATCCATCAATGGAGAAACTGCAAGGAATCAGTCAGTACCTGACAAGGAAGAAACAGTGCAGTTCTGGAAGCAGATATGGGATAACCCAAAGAAATACAACAAGGATGCGGCTTGGTTAAAAGAGGTGGATGCAAATAAAACAGAAGTTGAAATGAAAGAACTAGTAATAACAACAAAAATGGTAGAAAAAAGAGCAAAGAAAATCAAAAATTGGTCAGCACCAGGTGAAGATGAACTGCATGGGTTTTGGTTGAAACATCTAACTGTTATACACCCACTCATTGCCAAGCAGTTCAACAATATACTACAAGGTGGAGAAATTGAAAAGTGGCTAACAACTGGGAAAACCTACCTAATAATGAAAAATCCAGCAAAAGGGGCAACACCAGGTAACTACAGGCCAATTACCTGCTTACCAACAACTTTCAAATTACTAACTGGTGTGGTAGCTGATGCAGTACAACAGCATCTAGTTGAAAACAATCTCTTTCCACCTGAGCAGAAAGGAAACCGCCCCAATAGCAGAGGAACAAAAGATCAACTCCTAATAGACAAAATGATCTTGGAAAACTGCAAGAGAAGGAAGACCAACCTGAATGTGGCATGGATTGACTACAAAAAGGCATTTGACTCTCTGCCACATGATTGGATAATAAAGTGCCTAGAAATAACAGGAGTCAGTAGAAACATCAGAAAATTTGTGCAAAGATCGATGGCACAATGGAAGACACAGTTGCAGATCAATGGTGAGAGGCTGGGAGAGGTTAATATCAAGAGAGGAATATTTCAAGGAGATTCATTATCACCATTACTATTTGTTATTGCACTGTTTCCTCTGTCAACAATACTGAATAACTCAGGACATGGCTATCAAACATCAAAAACATCTGCCAGACTATCCCACCTCCTTTATATGGATGATCTGAAGCTGTATGGAAAAACATCATCTGAAATAGAATCGCTGCTCAACACTGTCCGTATATATAGCCAAGATATTGTAATGGAGTTTGGCTTGGACAAATGTGCCACACTTACTATCAAACAAGGAAAAATAGTGAAAACTGAAGGAATCAAGATGCCCCACGAAAATAACATTAAGAGTCTGGATGAGGAAGAGTACTACAAATACTTGGGTATCCTTCAAGCTGACAACATCAAGCACACTGAAGTCAAGAAAAAGATTAGAGGTGAATACATCAAGAGAGTGAAGAAGATCTTAAATCCAAACTCAATGGAGGAAATACCATAAAGGCAATCAACACCTGGGCAATCCCAGTCATTAGGTACACAGCTGGAATAGTGGACTGGACTCAAGCAGAACTAAAAGCAATGGATAGGCAGACCAGAAAAATAATGACAATGAATCACGCCCTTCATCCACGCAGTGACATTGATAGACTTTATCTACCAAGGCAAATAGGTGGGCGTGGAATGCATCAGATGGTTGAAGAAGAAAAAATGGCTTTGGAAGAATATCTGAAGAACAATGATGAAGATGCCCTGAAAATAGTATATCAGGAAGGCTTACTAACTACTGGAGAGACCAAACTGGCCTACAAGAAAGACCAAATGAAGAACAGAATAGCGGCATGGGAAGACAAAGCACTACATGGCCAATACATGAAAAAAATAGCTGGGAAAGCAGATAATAATAAAACCTGGCAATGGCTAAGAGCAGAAAATTGAAGAAAGAGACCGAGGGACTAATTCTGGCTGCACAAGACCAAGCCTTAAGGACAAATGCATACAAAGTCAAAATTGAGAAGACAGCAACAGACAGTAAGTGCCGCCTATGCAAAGAAGCTGAAGAAACAGTGGACCACTTGTAAGCTGTTGCAAGAAGATTGCACAAACTGATTACAAGCAGCGGCATGACAAAGTAGCAACAATGGTGCATTGGAAGATCTGCAAAAAATATCATTTGCCTGTAAGCAAAAACTGGTGGGTTCATAAAATAGAGAAAGTCATAGAAAATGATAAAATTAAACTGCTCTGGGACTTCAGAATTCAAACAGACAAGCACTTGCAACATAACACCCCAGACTTAACAATTGTCGATAAGAAAGACAAAAAAGTCTTGATAGTGGACGTGGCAGTGCCTGGAGATAGCAGAATATAAGAGAAAGAACTGGAGAAGATAACAAAATACAAAGACCTACAAATAGAAATAGAAAGACTGTGGCACAAGCAAGCAAGGGTAGTACCAATAGTCATAGGCTCCTTGGGCGCAATCCCAAAACAACTGGAGCACCACTTGAACACCATTGGCATTGACAAATTCGCTATTAGTCAATTGCAAAAGGCAGCCTTATTAGGAACTGCTTCCATCCTGCGACGATATCTGTAATACCATCAAACATTCACATCTGCCTATCCCAGGTCCGGGTAAGGACTCGATAGGTAGACAAAATGCCAAATCCAGTCTGAACATCTGGCTGACTGTGCGATGATCGATAATAATAATAATAATAGAACTGGAAGGGACCTTGGAGGTCATCTAGTCCAACCCCCTGCTCAAGCAGGAAACCCTAGACCATTTCAGACAAATCACTGTCCAGTCTCTTCTTAAAAACCTCCAGTGATGGGGAAGGAAGGAAGGAAGGAAGGAAGGAAGGAAGGCAGAATAGCAGAATAACAGAGTTGGAAGGGATCTTGAAGGTCATCTAGTCCAACCCCCTGCTCAGGCAGGAAACCCTAGACCATTTCAGACAAATCACTGTCCAATCTCTTCTTAAAAACCTCCAGTGATGGGGAAGGAAGGAAGGAAGGAAGGAAGGAAGGAAGGAAGGAAGGAAGGAAGGAAGGCAGAATAGCAGAATAACAGAGTTGGAAGGGACCTTGAAGGTCATATACTCCCACCCCCTGCTCAGGCAGGAAACCCTAGACCATTTCAGACAAAGGGCTGTCCAGTCTACTTGTCCCCCTTTGCGAGACTTTAGGAAGATTTCCTTTGCAAGAACCCGGGCAGTGCCGGACCCCCCTCCCCGCACGGGGCCAGGACCTCAGGTGTTGAAAACCTTCTGTTTTTGTGTTTTGTTTTTGTTTTCCCATTTGCAGAAGGCCACCCCGGAGAGGCGGCGCTCGGCCCGCTTCAACAGCCTGTTCAGTGAAGATGAGCTGGTTGAAGATTATTTCAAGGAGGAATCGGTCCCTAAGTGAGCATCGCGCCCTCCTTCGGCTGCTTTGGGGTTCGGGGGGGGGGAGATTCCTGCTGTCGGGCGAGGGGCTGCCTCCGTTATGCCGCTTCTGGGATTTAAGACGATCAGTGAAAGGCAACTGCTTTTCGGGGGCACGATGGCTCAGTGGTTAAAGACGCCGAGCGTGTCCGGTGGAGAGCTGACACCCCGGGTTCAAGAACCGAGCGCTTCCATGATGGGGTGAGCTCCTGTCCTTGCTTCAGCTCCTGCCCACCGAGCAGATTTACAGAATAACAGAGTTCGAAGGGAGCTTGGAGGTCATCTAGTCCAACCCCCCCAAGCAGGAGTCCCTGCACCGTTTCTGACAGACAATCTTGGTTGCTCTTCTTTGCACTCTTTCTAGAGCAGGTGTGTCAAACCCACAATGTCATGTGATGTGTCGCGACTTTTTTTCCATTGCCGGCAAAGGGGCGGGCGCGGTTTTGCCATGACGCATCCGGCCCGCGGGCCGGGTGCTAGACATCCCTGTTCTAGAGTCTCTAGCACAGGGGTCTTCAAACTTGGCAACTTTAAGACTTGTGGACTTCAACTCCCAGAATCCCCCAGCCGGCCGGCTTTAAGGGGGGTGGACTTCAACTCCCAGAATTCTCCATCCAGAATGTTTTAAGAGGGGTGGACTTCAACTCCCAGAATCCCCCAGCCGGCCTGCTTTAAGGGGGGTGGACTTCAACTCCCAGAATCCCCCAGCTAGCGTGTTTTAAGAGGGATAGACTTCAACTCCCAGAATCCCCCAGCCGGCCTCTTTTAAGGGAGGTGGACTTCAACTCCCAGAATCCCCCAGCCAGAATGTTTTAAGAGGGGTGGACTTCAACTCCCAGAATCCCCCAGCCAGCATGCTTTAGGATAGGTGGACTTCAACTCCCAGAATTCCCCCAAGTTGCTTTAAGATGGGTGGGCTTCCACTCCCAGAATCTCCCAGCCAGAATGCTTAAAGATGGGGACTTCCACTCCCAGAATCCCCCAGCCAGCATGCTTTAAGATGGGGGGGACTTCAACTCCCAGAATTCCATGTGTGTTACATTTCTATCTCGCCAGGAACTTCAGCCCGTATGCTTAATACAAGAAATCCTCATTTAGTGATGGCCTCATTGAGCCACCATTCTCAGCTGCAACAGTGACGTCACTGCCTGCTCTGCTAACGTTTGCAGGTCATCCGATCACAAGCACCCATCATCGTTTCACTTAGCAACCATTTTGCTTAGCAATGTCTGAGCAGTGGTCACTAAGCGAGGAGTAGTTGCATTTCTTCCCCCACCAAAACCGCCCACCCTCTGGGGCTGGAGGTGGACTTGAACTTCTCCCTTACCTGCCTTGCAGGATCTCAGATCTGCTTCAGGCAGGTGGTGTAAATAAATCCGCCTTTGCTGCTCTGTTGGCTTTTAGGAATGTGCTGGATTTCATGCTCCTTTGCTCTTATAACATGGGTTGGTTAATCAGGGCCTCCAACCCTCCCCGGAACCTCCGTCTTTCTTAGAGGAGGAGGAGGAGGAGGAGGAGGAGGAGGAGGAGGAGGAGGAGGAGGAGGAGGAAAATTGTAGGGTCCATGATGCTCTCTGAGTTTGGTTGTTTTGATGTTTCATGACCAAACTACAGAAGAGCATCAGTGCTAGAAGGGTGGGGAGTTGTGGAGAGGAGGAGGAGGAGGAGGGGGAGGAGGAGGAGGAGGAGGAGGGGGAGGGGAGGGAGGGGGAGGAGGAGGAGGAGGAGGAGGAGGAGGAGGAGGAGGAGGAGGAGGAGGAGGAAAGGACTCTGGAGTCCTTGGTGTTCTCTGAGTTTGGCTGTTTTCTTGCAGACGTTTTATTACCCAGTTAGGTAACACCATCAGTGCTGGAAGGGATTGGGGGTGTGTGTTGCTCTCTGATTATATACACCACCTACACTGACAGAGCAAGTCATGTGTATATAAACAGGGAGCAAGCCCACATGGCTGGCTGAGGAATTCTGGGAGTTGAATTCCACGAGTCGTCAAAGGGCCAGGTTTGAAGACCCCTCCCCTGGACCATTGCAGACACACAGTGTCCAGTCTCCTCTCTTCCCGTCTTGAATTTCTCTGGATTGCCCTCTGAGTTCAGCTCCAAGAAAGACTCTAGGCTGCTTGCAAAGACCCCCAAGCTCACCCCCTTTTGCAAGGCTGGGGTGCAGGGGTCCAGTGACCTTTGCTAATAGCGGCTCTTCTGGTTTCTCCCCTTCCCTTCCCTTCTCTTCTCTCTTCTTCTCTTCTCTTCTCTTCTCTTCTCTTTTCTCTTCCCTTCCCTTCCCTTCCCTTCTCTCTTCTTCTCTTCTCTTCTCTTCTCTTCTCTTCTCTTCTCTTCTCTTCTCTTCTCTTTTCCCTTCCCTTCCCTTCCCTTCTCTCTTCTTCTCTTCTCTTTTCTTTTCCCTTCCCTTCCCTTCCCTTCCCTTCTCTTCTCTTCTCTTCCCTTTTCCCTTCCCTTCTCTCTTCTCTTCTCTTCTCTTCTCTTCTCTTCTCTTCTCTTCTCTTCTCTCTTCCCTTCCCTTCCCTTCCCTTCTCTCTTCTTCTCTTCTCTTCTCTTCTCTTCTCTTCTCTTCTCTTCTCTTTTCCCTTCCCTTCCCTTCCCTTCTCTCTTCTTCTCTTCTC